TCACAGATGACTCTCATGGTGTGGCGGACAATGTTGTCCATTTCTTTCTGGTGCACAAGTTCTGAACCCTGTGGTTGCTCAATGTGAAAATGGAATCGGTTGCCACGCCAATCTTGAGTGCGGAACAATGCATCACATAGCAAGAGATGAACATTCTCATCCTGACAATCGGCTTCGATCCGTTTGGCCAGTTGCAGTGACTTTTGGGCGTTTAAACGATTCCATTTGCACCATGGGCTACACTTAGGAGCCACCCATATGTCCGGTCTGACAATCCACAGCAAATCGCAGAGTTTGCAACGACCCCCGAAGGTGGAAAGATCCCCATGCCTCAAGCCAAATCGGACTGTAGTCAGGCCAAGCTGTTCACCCTGCTTAGTGATTTCGCTCTGTTCGGAGCAGTGCGCTTCCAGCAATTGAACCCTGGACTGGGACCAGTGACGTTGGATGTCCGTGATAGACCATGATGGAAACTTCTTTCGATAGTAGGTCCACATTTCTTCATAAACCCAGTTATATCGGCCTTCTTCAGCATGAAAGATCTCAGAAAAGTAGCTGGTGTCAACAACTTCATCACGGTTCTGAGCCAACACGGTTTTACCTACTTCATCACAAATCCATGACCTAAAGTCCAGTCCATGGTTGCCCTCATTCAGGGTTTCTGTGTGCTGGCTGTCGGCATCATGGCCTGGGTCAGTACCTGAAGTTGTTGAGAGATCATGTGCAGGGAGTTCTCTTCCACAGTCTCGAGGCGATAGTGCTGGCTCTCGAGCTCGCCCTTCACCAGACTGGCATGCTCTTCCTGAATCACACTCCACGGCTTTGAGGCCTCTTCTTCGGACCAGCTCCCCTGACTTGAGACGTCCACAGTTGAGGGTCTGGTCGCTTTGGCCTTGGCTTTCAGTTCCAGTGAGGTCGGTTGCATGATCTCGGCATCTTCCTGTGTCAACTCCAGCCTCCACATACGGATTGCTGAAGTACAGGAACGCCTGATGAGCATGTTTCTGAGATCCCTTGTACTTCTTCACAAACCACGTGGTGTATTTTGGGTCTTGGGTCACCACATCGATGAATCTCTGATTCAACTTGGCCTCTCCGAAAGCGATTCTCATCTTTGACCACTGGTCGTATGACATCTTCATGAACTCGTCGTTGACCTTCTGGGATGTCACCTGCTGGAATCGTTCGGCAAGACGGCTGGAGGCCATGGTCACAGAACGATGGGTTCGAATCGGTTGAACACTTCTTGGGATCACTCGGCGGCTGTGAAGAGCATGGGTTTATGACTGACGGCTGTGGCTCATCACCTACACTCTTGGATTCTTCTTCAACATGCATGGTTTCCTGAGGCTGACCCTTTATTAGTTCTGATTTCACGGCTGGTGTCTGACTGGCAGGGCGGACAAGTTCACAAAAATCAATCAGATACAACTTCTTTGCGGCCAACGTGAGCGGCATTTTGACTTGGATTTGAGTGAAGTTCACAACGTCCGCTGCAGTGTCGATCTGGGCTCCCAATGTGCGGAAAACATTGTTTGAAACCAGGAAAAGGGTCTTTGACTGGACCACACAAATTTTGACAAACCATCGGTCTAACGGCACCATGAGGGCTTCCCGACACTCCACTGTGCTGCTGTTGCCAAATCGGAAAATCGTATTGCATGCTACCTTCTGGACACGACTCTTCACACTGGGCGGCAAATGAGACAACAGTTCAGGAACTTGGTCTGATCCAATGACAGTTTGACTGGCACCTAAATCCACTATGCCAAAAGGTCCATGACTGACGAAAAACACATCATCAAAAGGCCTCGGTTGGGCCTCAGGCTGGGTAAATCCCTGTTGGATCTCTGATGCATTCCTCTTCAGAGGACTGTGGGTCAGGCTCGGTTCAGGGGCAATCTTCGGCGGAGGGCTTAGGTGGCTCTTCAAATTGCTCAAGACCCTGGACAGGAGTGGTTCCGTGAGGTGACCTGAGTGACATGTCGGATTATAATTATTACCAACACAAACAAAACCAACCGATCCAACAGGAACTTCAGAACTAACATGCAGAGAAACATCCATGTGGTCGGAGACTAAGATCATGTCATCATCGGGGTTCTCATCATCATGGGTCATGGCCATGCCGGCGAATGCTCCATCTTTGGATCCAGTGACATTGGACGGATTCGGAGGTGACACTCGGCTTTCCGATGTCCACGCTGGCCGCATTTGCGGCACTCTGACTCAAGAATCCTTTGAACTTTGTGCCAACGGTTTTCGACTCCTGAAGCTATTCTTTCCTTTGTTCTTACCCTTACCTTTCTGGGGATATCCATGACCTTTTTTGAGCTTCCCCAGAACCCCCGATTTTTATTCCGGTCCTGCAGTCTCTTGCGGGCATCCATGTACGTGTTGAAGCAGGCTGCCAGCTCCATGTCTCCCTGAAGTGCTTCAAGGATGCTGTCCTCAAACTGCAAGCACACTATGGCGTCAGGGTCGGACTCATCATAAACCAAATCCCCATCATCCCATGATTCACCAGTGTAGGCAGTTTCTTCATCCATCACAAAGGTGGGTTGTTCCTCCTCAAAGACTGCGTTCACATCATACGTTTTTGATCTTGAGGCACTTTTCGAACCAGACTGAACTTCATTGAAGAACTTTGATCCGAGCAGCTTCAAAGCAGATACAATGGAATCATATTCTAAAGCACCCTTTGAATCTACAATCAGCTTCTTCTTGTCATCAGCATGGAGGCCTGAATTTCTCAAAAGCACGTATGCTCGAATCTCAGGAAAGCCAACACCCATTTGAAGCAACTCCTCAAACTGGAAGTCGTGGCGAGCCAAATCCGCCCACACCGCTTTGGCGGTGAAGGCGTGCTTATTGGGGGGCAACAGCAACACTAAATGCTCAATGACATTTGTTAATATAGCAGTCGCTATATCAGCTTTAGCTGGGGGGGGGGCCAAAAACGGTTTCGCACCGAGACCAGAATACGGTGGTGTTTTCGACATTTTTCGAGGATTTTTGGGTGTCTGAGCGCAAGAGGGTATTGAAATGGAATTTTGGGTCATTTTGGTAGCTTTCCGGCAATGGAAAAACGGCCAAAAATGAAAAAAACATTTGTACATAGCAAGATTTTGCAGGGTTTTTGGATGCCAGAGCATTGAAAACACTGCAAAAACAAGTGTTTTGGACTGACGTTATAGCAAAAAACGTGTAAATTACCGTATGCTTGACTGGAAACATTACAAAAACACTGTCAAAAGCAATGTTTTGGAAGGATTTACTGCCTTTATGGCAAAAAACGTGTAAATTACCGTCTGTTTGACTGGAAACATTGGAAAAACACTGTCAAAAACAATGTTTTGGAAGGATTTCTTATATATATGTTGGAGTTGGCTACCGGCATTGGAACATGGAAAAATTGAAGAAAACACTGTAAATAGCGGTATTTTCAACGGTTGGGGAGATAAGGGAATTGGAAGCATTGTCGAACATGATGTTTTCGACCGGTTTTATGGCGACAAAAGTGTAAAGTACCGTGCTTTGAAGGAAACCATTGCAAAAACATGGAAACACATTCAAAGAACACGGGATTTGGGGGACTATCTAGGCGTCGTTGTCTAGCTATTTGAAATTCCATAGCTTGGGAAGCTGTCACGGCGGGGAAAAGTGAAAATTCCCTAGCTTGGGAAGCCCCCACGGGGGGAAAAGTGAAAATTCCCTAGCTTGGGAAGCCCCCACGGGGGGGAAAAGTGAAAATTCCCTAGCTTGGGAAGCCCCCACGGGGGGGACAAGTGAAAATTCCCTAGCTTGGGGAGCCCCCACGGGGGGAAAAGTGAAAATTCCCTAGCTTGGGGAGCCCCCCACGGGGGGGAATTCCCTAGCTTGGGGAGCCCCCACGGGGGGGAAAAGTGAAAATTCCCTAGCTTGGGGAGCCCCGACGCCCCCCACGGGGGGGAAAGTGAAAATTCTTAGCTTGGGGAGCCCCCACGGGGGAAAACCACCCTTAGCCCCTCTCACGGACCGAAATAAACCTGCAGTGTGGGCGGCCACCCCACGCGAAGCGGGGTGAATAGCTCTCATGAGTCTCGTCCGACCTTTGAGTGGTCGAAAAGATCGCCCGTTCAAAACGTTCAAACTTCTCCTCCAAATTGCTTTTCCCCCAGGTTCCTCCAAGGGAGGTAACTAAGAGTTGCGCCCCGTCCACAGTGTTCACCTTGAGTTTCGCTGTATCCAGTCGCATGATTTTCTTGAATGCACTTCCCTCACACAGCATGGCCGCCCGCGGTGCGAGCAAGGACAGATGCTCTTGGGGCCAAAGCCCAGCAATGAATTCAAGCTTCTTGGAATACTCATTAATGTCAGTGTCGCCTGGACGAAAGGCGGGGATCATTCCCCAAGGCAAATGGGACAGAGAAGTATGACCTGATCCTCCATGGTTTGTGGTTCCACTGGGGCCCGTCTCCTTGGATTCTTCTGGCATCCTGGATCTGCAGCTTCCAGAGGTTCACAAGACAATTCCTCCTCTGGCCGCGGTAGCTCCGCTATTAGTATAGAACTGGCAACGGGCCCTTCGCCAACCTGTCAAACCACTTCCAATATCCAATAGGACTCCCAAGTCCTTCCAACAACCAAATGAAGTTCTAAATGGCCCTCCCGAGCCCTGCAGCGGCCGCGCCGCACTTTATGGCACCACACGCTCCGACGTGTCTGGGCCTACCTGAGCCCTCTGCGATTGCTCCCTGAGCCACTGCTATCGGCACCAAGAATGTACCCCAGCTGAACGGTTATCCCAAACTTGACAACTCATTGTGCACACATTCAGCGACATAAGTGGCATGATACACAACGGCTGGAATAAACACAATATATATATATATGCAGAGCATTTCGCAGTGTCAGCCCTCCACCGTGGCCCATTTTGAATCATTTTTGAAGCGTCATTTTTTGCCGTGACTTGAGGGTCCCCAAAATCCAAATCGGTGGAGCCCCTGGAGCCGGGCGGCATCCAACCCATCCTCCACTTGGATGAGATCTCCACAGGAAGCGAACTGACTGGACCCGAAGTTGCCAATCATGTTGCCCATCCTGAGACCGTGAGGACATGATGTGTATGTAAATAGTGGTGTGCACTATGTATATGTATATGTATATGTATATGGTAGATGGTATTTGGTATATGGTATATGGTATATGTATATGATGTGTATATATATACTATATATATATGTGTGTGTATATGTATGTACGTATGTTGTATATTTACGTATATGTATGTATATGTACGTATATGTACGTATATGTATACGTATATGTATACGTATATGTATACGTATATGTATACGTATATGTATACGTATATGTATACGTATATGTATACGTATATGTACGTATATGTATACGTATATGTACGTGTATGTACGTATATGTACGTATATGTACGTACCTACGTGCCTACGCACCTAGGTACCTACATAACATTACATAACATTACGTTTCATTACATTCCATTACATGTCATTACATTACATTTCATTCCATTTCATTGCATTTCATTACATTACATACATATGTACATATATATATATATCATCTTTATCATATTATATACACACATCTAGGTACTACATCTGAAAGTTCCGGAGGATTAAAAGGATTCAATGGATCGGTGCATTGAAGCACTCAGACAGTGAACACAAGATGTGATTAGTGTGTACGTGCACGTGTAGATGCAAAACGCACACACACACACATATATATATACATATGTAATATATGTTTAAAAAAAACATAACACTTAATAGATCTTAAATTGATTTTAATATGATCTTTAGCAATTCCCCAATCATCGATGGAACTTGATGGAAGCCATAAAATTATGGTGCCACTTAAATCTCACCATTCATCTTCCACATCAAGCTACGCATCGCCCATATTTTCGATCATGATGGGCAACATGATATTCACCTCAGCAGTGCCCAACTGTGAAGGGCCCAAGCAATGATAAAGCGACAGCAAGGGCCCTGGCAAAGGCATGGCGCCCGGTGATGCGCATCAGAGCATCCACCAAGCTGAAACCTGGGAGGAAGAAGCCAAAGACCTTCAGCAAAACTCAGGGGTAAGATGTGCCAAAATCATCCAAAATCCAGCTGAACTCAGTTGAGATCTGAAAACTCCATCAGTCATGGGTCCAACATGCCTTCATGGTGGGCACCGCCAGGTTGGCCAACCACATCCAATGGCATTGCTCGAGGTAGGGCATGGTCAAACCATCGCACTCGCCGTGCATGATTTTGGTCATGGTGCTGAAACCAGCGTCTGACCCTGGACCAGCACCTCGAAAGACGAGACGCGATGCGAGCGATGCAAGACGCGACGCGCGGCGCCAAGGTGGGAGAAACTACCCATAACTAGCCATAACTATCCATAAGTCACATATAGCAAATAGTTATTTAATATTATGAATATATTGATGAACTGGAATTGTGATCCAGGTAATTTATGGAATTATGGGCTGAACACACAGCTCATGTGAAGTAGTAGTGAGTTGAGTGCTAAGTACCCTGACGAACCATCCTGTCCATGGCGTTCATGGCAGTAGTGGCTCTGAGCCCCACGTCGAACATGATAAAAACAATGACCTGGCGTGAAACCACAGCACTCAATGGATTGAAGGGAAAATCCATTGGAAAATTAAAAAGGCAAACCTGGTCAAACCATCACTTCTTCCCGGGTGTTCCTGCTGTTGCTTCCTTTTCGATCCAGTCTGGGAAATAGCAAATCCCATCAAAATCATCAAATCTCCTTGAATCATTAAGCTTCCAGCCAGAATCAAAGCACAAATGCCATTGCAAACGACCAGGAAGACCTTGCTGCAGGCTGTGCCATGCTGTGCCATGCTGTGCCATGCTGTGCCATTTCTAGCAGCGACATGCAGCGACCACTGGCTTCCACAACTGGCTTCGACTGGGCCAACTGGGCCAAGCACGTTCCCCATTGCAGCGCTGGAGGTGGCAAGAGATAGGAGGTATGCCAAGCCTGCGATAGTGCAGCGACCGAATCTTCAAAATCTGACCACGTTTTGGACATGTAGAGACATCCGAGGTCAAACACGATGCGCTGGCCTGCCCAATCCCAGCAAAGGGCCGCATCCCCAACACACAAAACTCACAATTTCAACCCCAAAGCTTCTTGTAGTAAAAGAATAGAATTCCATGTTCCTACTCAAGACGCATAATTGATGCTGTGTACATGCCTGAGCCCCCAAAAATGAAGATCCATAAAGAATCATAAAGATCCTGTTTTCTACTGCGTGATCAAATTTGAGAAAGTGTGGCATCCCTCGAAAGAAACCCGAAAGACTGCGACATATCACTGACATTTATGCACAACGCATATAATTCCGTTTAAATCCTTTTAATTACTAAGTACATCTCTTGAATTATCTTGATGACCAAAAACATCCAAAAGCAACATTCAAGGTGTAGCAACCTTGGGGCGTTTGTCTACACAAAAAGCGTAATACGGGATCTTAGCGAGAAATGCGAGAGCAGCATATGAAGCATGGCACCATTCCTCGATATAGGACCGATCCATTACAAACGCCATTGCAATACCCCCTTTAAAGAACAGCATGCACTGGAAAGGTGAGCTTTTTTCTTCAGAGAAATCAAGACTCGTAGTCAGTTCTGTAAATCAGCGGTTTTGTTCTCTAATTTTCTCCGATTTTCTCCGCAAAAAAGCGGAAACAACCCAAAAAGACGAACACCAAAAGAAACAGGCCTGGCAAGGGTAAAGGAAGGGCAAATCCAGGACAAAACATTTGTTGGTCCCAAGTCGCGGATGGCCTACGGTTGCTGGTACGAAGAGGATCAGCGTGGAAACGCTGGACTGCCAGTAGGTGCTGAAGGCATCAAAACCTGCACATTTTGTGCCATCAATTGGGTCCTGGGATGTGCTGGGCCATTGATTTCATATGTTTGGATAAGGTCAGTACTAAAATGTACGAACGATCAGTATCTTCTTCCTGGCTCAGTCAGGAACATCACTTATATAACTTATAACTTATAACATCTTATAACTATCGCCAGAAATCCTAACTAACTCCTAAGCCGCATTCTGTCCGGAAGCAGTTGGGTGATGTTGGGAGTCCGGCGATAAAAGCAGTGGCCCAGGGACCATAGTGGTGGAGGAAGGCGTAGAGGGCCAAAATGGGGAAGGCAGCGAAGAAACAGTCCTCCAGGTAACTTGGACATCGAATGATGTTCGGACCTGGAAACCTCACAACTGAAGATCAACAGAGAGCAATGGCACAGTCCCAAATCAGCATAGAGATCCAATATGCCCTTGAAGAGCAGCCCGAAATCATCAGCTGATGCTTTATGTCCTGCAAGAATCTCCACGAATCTGCAAAAATCGGTCAGAAGCAGTGCCATAGTCCCGGAATCACTGCAGTTTGCTGCACACTGGCGGCTCGTCTCCTTAGTCTTCTCCATCAGCGCAAAGCCCAGCACCGCCACAGGTACAAAGCAGAAGGCGTAGTTGCTCAAAGCAGACACCATGAAGGCTGCGTAGGTTTGGGTCTTCATGTTCCTCTGTTGGTAAAAGAGTTCTTCCGGGGGCGTCGCCGGCATGATCCTGGGACGGGTCAACGTGTCAATGCGTAGGTCAACCATGTGCTAAGAACCGTGTTTCCTAGACGCCAGGGTGCGCACATAACACTCTGAAACGTTTTCTGCAATATGTGTCTGAAGTTGTTTCAACGCGTCCAAACTTGATAAGCATGATTCCGCTTTTTTGAAGTGTTGGTTACGTTAAAAAGCGACTTCGCAGCACGACATAGATAGTCAGAACCCCTGCGCGCAAACCGCCGTTGGAAGTCTAGAACAAACATGAACAAACGTCTTTTTGAGGGCGAAGTTTTGGCTTGAATTTGGCAATGTATGCTATGTGCTGTCTGAGGCACTCCTCAGTCAATGCCATCTGAAGGCCAGTGGCCTCCGAGAGTTTCTCGAGACACAACAAAATAGCAAAAATAGAAGATGTCAACAAGACCAAAGACCAAAATGTGGCCCTGTAGCACCAATATCCCATCATCACTCGACTGGAAAGCCCAAACTTTAGATGTCAGATGCGCCTTCTGAAAGGCTTCCTTCACAGCTAAAGGATGGCCATGCGCCACGTAACTCGTGTTGGAAGCCACCACGGGGAAGCCATCCAGAAACAAAACACCTGGCCAGCGAACAAGACCAGCATGGACCAGCTGGATAGATCTGGATAGATCTGATTTTAGCCACGATTAGTGATGATTCATGGTAGCCACGGTTGGTGGTTTTTGGATGTTTTTTTGTGGTTTGAAGATTTTGAACGTGTTTCGATGGTTCAACCCATGCCCAAGGGATTGTAGTACCGCTCAATGGGGTTCAGTGTATTCAAATTAATACCATCCAAATGGATCCAAATGGGTATATGAAAACATGAACAAGGAAGCCAGAATGAACCTGATAAACCAGCAACCTGGTGCAACAGCAGCTCTCTGCCTACGTCTTGGGCTTTGTTTTTGCCTGCATTCTGGATCCTGAGGTGAAAAAAACCATCAATCCAATCCAGTCGCACCAGTGATACCAGAACGATCCACATCGGTTTGGACGTTTCGCATCGTGGCGCATCGTGGCGCATCGTGGCGCATCGTGGCGCCAAGGCTCAGGAGGTTGTCAAAAGCCAGCAGGAACCTGACCCATCGTTCTTTGCACTTTGTCGATGAAGCTGATGGATCCTTGGACCTGTGACGTGGCCAGGGGGAGAACACAGCGAGTTTCCATGAGTTCCCAGCCTGCAGCGGTCGATGTAGGCATCAGGGACATTCTTGATGGTGCTGGACACATCATCCCTGAAATGGGCCGTGATTGGGCCAGGATGTGCCAGAAATGTAACAGGACGAGGGGCGTGTAACAGGTGCGCGGATATGAAGGGCTGCCGCATTTGAATTTGGACCTGGGAGACAGCCGGAGGCAGGCGGAGGCAGCTGGGGCAGCCGGAGGCATTGCAGTCTATCTCTGTGTGAAGGCTCAGGTCTTCATGCAGGCCGGGTTTCTCTGTGGCTGGTTGCAGCAGAACCACGTCCGCTGCTTCCTTAACAATTTCAGACATCTTCGGATAGACACACAGCAGGGGCGATCCCACCCTAAATGGAAGTTTGCCGAAACCTTTTACAAAGTGTAAACAATCTTCAACGCCGGATGCTACTCCAAGTTGCAGTTCCAGCGGTTGTCGTGGCCATGGTTACCTTCAGATCACTGAGTTCGATTGAAATCGGCACACCTGCGAAAGTTCGGTGCAAACTCGCGACTCACCAAGGGGTTCTCACCATGCTGCCCTTTAGTCGTCCCTAAAAAAGAATTCAATGAGGTGAGGGCCATGGTTTCTTGCTGAACTTCTTGGTTCTTGCAACATTATGGTACGTGGCCAGAATGGACCTTCCTTTCGATATCGCTATGGATCAAAACACGGGCAGCCTGGTTTTTCAAACCATCGCAGGCAATCGTCATTCCGATGGTCCCAAAAGAAGTGACCCATCCTTATATCATCCATCGATGATACTGGTTGGTTACAAGCTATAAATCCTCTAGTACTCTCACTTTGTCGGGGCAAAATCGTGTTTAAAATCCAACCCATTGACAGAATGATTCACACATTGTAGATGGTATGGGGCATTTGCTCAGTTTTGCTCATACTTCCAAGATGGTAAAATATGGTAAAATATGATACACCATTCCACTTTAATCCTTTGGAGCATATTTGTACACAGATAAGTAATCTACATACTCACTTTGAACCAACTCAAGGCGCCTGCGGTCGGACGTCCTGTGAACAGATACTACACTGATCATAGCCATAAGGCTGAGATAGATAGACCTCTGTGAAATTCACTCCGGTCACACTCCTGTGCTGCCTTACGACAAAAGCTATCCACAGTCGAAGCATCTCTTGTATTTTACACAGGGCAAATCCCTGCCTGCCCGTTGGAGATGCTTACAAAATGAAAGGTGATACTTCGCACCTCCACTCGTCACGCAGATCTCCTTCGGGTAGCGAGAATCGCAGATCCTCTGCTGCTGCTCCTCATAGACTCGCTGCATTCGAGCGATCACCTCTTTCTTGTCCTTCAGGGCTGCTGCCGTCTCCTGATTCTCCTTCTTCAGCAGTTCATTCTCGGCCATCGTCAGGTCGAGCTGCTCCTTCATGGCTCGCATGTCGATTCGGTGAAGTCCAAGTGGTCCGACATGTTCATCTCCACGCAGTGAACTCGGTGCTGAACCACCATCACCTGAATCTTCTTCTCTTCGAGCCACTTTGATGCCCATGTTTCTGGGCTGTTCTTTCAGGTCGGCAATCCGGGCGTCCTTCTCCTTGTTGGCGGTTGTCATTTGGACAACTCGTGTTGCATTATAGTTCTTCTGCTCCAGGGCGTTGGTGATCTCCTGGTTGCGCTTGTCGATGGTGCCGCGCTTCCTTTCCATCTCATCCTCCAAGTCTTGGATCTTGTCCTCTGCGGTGGCAAGGTCGTAGTTGGCCTTTTCACAGTTCTCCTTGTAAATGCCGTTGTTGTTTGTCAGGACATTCTGATAGTCCAAAAGTCTCTCCTTCTCTGCCTCCAGGTCTTCGATCTTCCTTCGTAGATCGCTGATGTCTTTCTCAACACTCTCGTCGACCTCGATGGCGTCGTCCATCTCCACCTTGAGCTTCATGTCCATCATCTTGAAGACATAGTGCGCGATGTAGAGCCCGATCTTGCGCACGTAGTGCTGTTGGAACACATACTTCTCGGTCAGGATGGCTGCAATCACCACGGCATAGGTCAAGAAGTAGTACATCACGATGCCGATGTAGTTGGAGCTCGGCTGAGACTCAGGTTCACGGTTAGTGGCCTGTGCATTGGCCATAGATGCCATCCTGCTCGATGTATAAACGCCCATCAGGCCGAAGAGCACCGTTGCGGGTGAGGCTTTGACAGCCTGAGGATTCTCCTTCACATAGTCCAGCAGCTTCTTATCGTCCATCATCAAGGTCTGCTCGTCGTAGTCCTGCAATGGCGGCAGAATGCGACTGATCACCGGGTGATTGGCTACCCATGGCTACCCCATATATGGTTACCATCCCCGTAGTGAGAAACTGCAGCAACTCTTGACTTTGCATTGGTTTTGTCAATGCATCAGCTGTCATCGATTCGGTTGGAATCAAAGTTGTCTGGCGTATGCGGCCAGTGATGCGACCTTCGCGAATGCCCAGCACATACAACCTCTGGGCTTTATCTTGGGGTAAAACCTTCTGCCCAGTGCAAAGCTCGAAAAAATCTCTACGATCCATGTAGAAGTCTGAGGGCAAAGCTGGGTTTCCATTCTCTTGGATGTCCACCAATTCCTTCAGCGTCGGCTTGAGGGAAATGTGCATCATCTCTGAGAGTCGCACCATCACCAAAGTTGTGGATTCTGTTCCATTCACCATAGACAAAGTTTCAGCGTGGCTGGTGCTGTATGAAATGCGTTTTGCCCTTCCACCATGTGCATGCAAAACATGCATGACACCTCCATGCATCTTCACAGATTCATCATCATGGATCACCTCGTGCTCCATCGTTTGATCTCGCCAGTGGTCATCTGCAAGCAAAACCAAAATGCCTTCTTGGGCGTAATGACGACCATTGTTTGCAGAACTGGCATCATGTATGCAAACCAAACGTTGATGAGGTGTCTGAAATCGCCTGTAGTGCAAGGTGGCTTCTCGGCAATCTTTTGCTTTCACCAGCACTTCGTTGGCCATCTTCAGCTCCTTCACAGTCGCTGTAGTCACCTTTGACTGCAACAAAGAAACGTCGGCCACCAGGTCCAAACGAGTTGCGGTGACCTACAATAGGGCACCCAAAGCAGATCTGAAGTCTATGACCTCGGACTGTTCCAAACGTGAATCATCAGGTCTTGAAGGAATAGGAGCTGGCTTCATCTTGGCCACAAAGTCCTCTTGATCAATGGCGTAACCGTCTCTGGTTCGACGATAAGTGCATCCACAATGGCTAAATGGCAGGCTCTGTCTGGAAAACTTCTTGAACTTCTGGACGAACTTGTCATAGTGGTTGTTCAGCCATTTGGGAGATGCTGTGAGGGCCAGATCGTCAACGTGAGTGGTTAGCATCGCCTCCACGTTGTCAAGGCTCATGATTGTTGAGGGCCGCTTCAAAGAAACCAGTTCTCATCCAATTTGCTCCTCGCTGCACCCAAGTCCAAGATGTACTCGTGCAAGCATAGCTGCCAAGCCAGTGGAGCATCGTTGACCCCGTAGATGGGTTTCAAACATAGAAGACCATATTGATGAAGAAATTGTTGAGGAACCTTGAGGAGGTCTGAATACTTCTGCAAATGTCTCCATACGTTGAGAGGGGGAAACACCACCACCTGTCTTGTCGGTGCATCCAAACCAAGCTTCTTCAGGGACTCCTGGATTCGCTTGAAGTCAAATCCTTTCAAGAAAGCACCGGCAATGTCCCAGCTCTCCACGTCCTTGCCATCGTCTCGCGCCGCTTGCGACACCAACAGTCGTTGTGACAATCTGGTCGCAGTAGTGCTTCGGGTCGTCAGCTGTTGCTTCTGCGCATCGAAGCATCCCCGGGCACAAAGTCGAGACTTGACCTTGATGGAGCCGTCTGGGTATCGTTTGTGTTTCCGTACCCATTTGCAGTCGATCACCACCATCTCGTCGGTCAGCTGCAGTGAATGAATTGGCTTAAAAGCCTTTTCCTCCACGAACTGCTTGACTTCGTTGGAGTCTGCCAGATCGATCTATGGCCACATCTCTGCAGAAATTTGGTGATCTTCAAAGGTACTTGTCTCTTGGTCCACCTTGTAGATCTTGGCCGTCCGGAGACATGCAATGGCTTCGCTGTTGCACTTGTAGTCGATGGTGAAGAGCATCGTCTTGTTGTTCTTGCGGTCAGTGTCATACTTCTGCAGGAGGAAGTTCCTTGCAGCTGCGGTCAAAAGAGAGTGACCCAAACGCCAATCTTCACTGAAGCCAAGTTGTACTCGAAGTTGAGGAGTTGTGGCGTTGTACCAATGCCGCATGAACTCGATCTCGCTCTTGATGTAGGCAATCTTCTGCTTCTTCTTCTCAGGAGAAAGAATCACAGTGCGTGATTCTGGGCCTTCTCGTTTTCTGCTCTGTGGATCTTCTTCCATTGGAGTTGGGCTGGATATTTCAGGATCTTCAGGCTTGTCCTCGATGTTCTCCTTCTTTGGATGGACATTTGGATGGATGGCTTCTTTTCTGACCATGATGTAGTAGAAGAAGTAGAGGGCACAGATGTCCTCCTTGTTGTGGTTGGAGATTCGTTTCATCCGCAAATGGTTGTCGGTCTTGTGCTCCTGAATGGAATAGCTTGTTCCACCATGAATTCATGTGATCAAAGCGCCAATGGTTCCAGCTGGAGGTTTCATGGATCGAAGAGCTCGTCCAAATAGAACACCATGTAGAGTGCGACTTGTGAGGCCCTTGGAAACTGTCTCTGCTTTGGCAATGATGTTGATGGCCTCGTCGTTGTTCTTTGGCAGCCGCACCCAAGACTCATTCCGTTTGCGGATCCAGCCATAGAGGTACACCTTGTACTCGGACATGTTCTCCACGTACTTCATGAGCTTCCAAAATGCATCATCCATTTGAGGGGTCTGGACCTCCATGTGGTAGATGCCGCGGAAAGCTCGGATGTGTCGCAAAGAGACCAGATAATAGGGCCTTCCTTGATACTGTATGATGGCAACTCCTTCATCAGCATCAAGGCGTAGTAAAAAGAGCTGGTCCCCTCCATCCTTGGTCGTTCTTGACCTCCCTGTAGAATTCAACTTCGGGGGTTCCAGCCACAAGCTCGCCAACATCCAATTGCTGAGGCCTCGTTCTTGAAGCTCGTGCCATTCTGTCTTCAATGACAGCTTGTTGTGCTTGTGCAAGGGATGTCTGTCTGATTCGAAGAGCCCGTTCGAAGACTGTCAGATCTGTCTCAAGAGCTCCGTCGGTGTTCATCACGTGCTCGGAGTCAGGGTTGTAAAACTCCCGAGGCATGGTGCCGTAGACGGCCATGGATGGATCACACCACCATAGGACAAAGTCAGGTTCTGGGCCATGGCTGCTTCTTGTTCAAGCTCAAGTTCAGTTGGTCGTAGACCTTGTTGTTGAAGTTCTGCACGGAGCTTGAACATCGTGAGCTTGGTCAACTGGACATGCCTCTACACGATGCCTGTGCCAGTGTGCTGCTCTGAGCCAGGGCCAGAGGTAGTACCGCGAGGGCAACGGTTGATTCCCAAGCGTTCAAATTCTGCACCAGAGTCATGGCTCATCAATGCCACTTGCTGATCAAGCACCAAACGTTCAGGAGGCCCAAAGTGGTAAATCCAGAGTCCTGCAGGATGGCCTTCATGAGATGCTCGGGCTCCTGTCCATCGATGGTGCCACACTTCTTGAAACGTGTTGCTTCGTCGATCAGCAGCATGAACCAGGTGGACTCCCAGTAGAACAAATCCATCTGGACCGTCTCATTGAACACATGGGCACCTCGTGCTCGTAGTTGAGGACGATTTGGAAGTCTGATGTGCTTCCTGCAAATTGCACAGCACTTCACGGCCTCCTTCGCAAGGGAGATGACTTCGCCAGACATGCCAGCTCTTCGAAGAAGATTGGTGAAGTCCCAGCAGCAATTCTTTTGGCTCTTTCGTTTTCCCCTTGTTCCATTAATGCTGGAAGTCGTTGTAAAACTCGTCGCAGATTGTAGTTTGGTCGAGTCGGAGCCAAAGCTGCATGAGGTTGGACTTCAAATTCTTCTTCTCCTGGTTGTTGATCTGGTTCAGCTGACTCATAAGCTGGCTGCATCAATGCTTCGTCATCTCTTCCATCAGGTAGAGCTCGAACTGAAGGTTGTGCAAGAGGCTTGTCCTCCTTCTTCTTCTTGAAACTGGGCTGTGATGGAATCGATCTGGCTCTTGTCATAGGAGTTGATGGAGCTGGCACACCTTGAAACTCTGTGCCAAAAATGGTGACTATCCAGTCATCTTCATCGATCGCTCCATAGATCTGATTGTGACTGCATTCTCGTAGATCTTCTATACTGGATGTATGTGCCACTCCTTGACATGTCCTCGAATTTGTAGTCGAAGATGAGATGATTCCACGGCCAGAACAGGTTGTGCGTCACGAAGCTTGGAAGGACGTAGTTCCACTCGTACTCCACGGACCATTAGGTGTCCACCAAAGATCTCCTTGAAGATTGCTAGATGTGTGGAATGATCAATCCAGTGGTCGTACTCGATCTTGTTCTTGATGGCTTCTCTGACGTACTCCAAGGTCATGTCAACTGCTTCAATCAGCAGTCTCTTGAGGTAATGCTGTTGGGTCTGGTCAAGTACAGGAAAAGAGTGGTCGTGGATCTTGATGGATTCATAGTTTTCTCTGTCAGCTCGTTCTTTCCAATTGGCAAGTGGATCAACAGGTGTTTGCGACTTGCCTTTTCCTTCTGGACCGGTGCCAGCTGCCCAACGTCCATGTCGACATTCTTTGGGAACCATAGTGTGTGGAATGTCTGAGGGACAAAAGCGGCCAAGCTGACATCGGATGCATTCGTAGAAGTGTTGAACAGCAAAATGCCGAACATGTTCAGGCCATAGGCCAAGCTGGAGCAAGTTGTTGTTGTTGTGGAGGAGGTCAATCACTTCCAGCTTCATCTTCTGACACATGCTGCGAGGATAGGCTGCGGCCTTTGAGGTCATAGTCAATCCGCTGGAGTCAGTGCCACGAAGGTGAGCATGAAATTTTCCTTTGTGTCCAGAGCAGCGTAGAGCAGTGCGCTTCCATTTGATGTTTGAAGAGAATCCAGTGGCCTTCTGAACAGGGGCTCCATGTTCATCTTGAGCTCCAAGCATGCATTGATCCGGACGTTACCGTTTGCGATGTCCTGGAAGAGCTTGAAGTCGAAGTGGATTCTCAGGTAGATCTTCTTGGAAGAGTGCGCTGCCCAATGGCTGTTCCATGTTGTAGCCACGGGAATGCTTGCATTGTCGCGCACATGTCTCCTGGGTGAACTACAGCGATGACCGAGCAGCCAAACGTTCTTGTAGTCGAAGTTCAGGATTCAGGATCTTTTGATGACGAAGAGACACTCCATGGCACAGTCCGGTGCGATGTGCACCACTCCTGGTTGCAATTCAGCTTGGGCCTTGCGTAGCATGGCTTGATGGCTTTCATTCGCCAAATCCCAGCCATAGCGGAAGTCAACTGGGAAGCCCACAATGAGTCCAGCCATGAACATCACCAACCTAATTCGGCCAGTGCCGGAAAAGAGCTCCCAGAAGTGCCATCGAAGTCCTTTTCCTCTTGTGCGGTTGAACCACTTGTTGAAGTTCTTCGGAGTGAGTGGAGCCATACCCGTCTCCGTCTAGCACTCCTCAGGAAGGGCCTTGTACCGCTTTGTCAGCTTCGGCACATCAACGCCTTCAGGCAGTTGGTCCTCCTGGTACTTCGGGAAGTGCTCGTCATCTCCAGTTGTTGATGCCAAAATGGCAGGGGTTTCGTTGGTCATCTCTGCTTTGATGTCGTCGTAGTGCACGTTGGACTCCTTCGGAGTCAAAGAAGACTGATCAGCCAAAATGGCGTATTCTGTGAAACTGCTTGCTTCGGCTCGTCCAGCTTGAACAGCACTGTCTTGGTTCGGACAGTTGGAGCCGATTCCGATTCAGGTAGTTGTGGATCTTGCTGCGATAGTACTGAATCAGGTTGAGATTGAATTGCATCATGTTGGTGTTGAGGTTGTTGGGAGTGTGATGGCAAGGAATCAGGTTGTTGTTGTGCTGTAGATGTTGTGTCACGAGGTTGAAGTGGATGAGGTTGAGGTTGCACTACGGTTCGTGTGGATGATGCTTGTATGTTGATGCTGATCTTGCTGACTGGCTTCTGATTTGTTGCCATGAATGATGTCTTCGTTTTGATCACCCCGGTCACCTCCTGGCTGCAAAACGGTGACTGGCTTGTTGTAGTTGAGGAAGCAATGACGGACTCGATCATGGATGTCATTCCAATGTCTGGCACTCTCCTCAGCGACCTTCTGCGTGAACAGCATGACTTCCTTCTTGGTCTCCTTGGCCACGCGTGCTGTCTGCTCGTGGTCGGTCGGCAGGATGTAGTGCCCTGAGTCTGTCAAGAGCAAGCGGAAGATGCGGTAGTGCTTCTCCTCGCTGTCCTTCTCTCTTCCACCAACCATCATCAATCCATCTCCATTTGCAAACCAGTTGGCAAAGATACTGGCATCAAGGCGACATAATGTTGGGTTGCCAAACAATGCCGGGCAAGTAGAGCCAGAGCCACCAATGACATCGGCTGTGTACATGATGGAGTAGCCGCCAGCTTGTAGAGGGATGGAGATTTCTCCCAAAGTCTGGTGGCTTCGCCGCTGATGCCACTCACAGGGGTTGTCTTGCTGTAGTTTATGGAGACCTCATGTTGTTTGCCAAAGGGCGTAATGCAGTGGTCCATCAGCTGCTTCAGGGTGTCAGAACCTATGAGGCCAGATGCAGCTCCTGGGTCGATGAGAAGACCATGACGTTGTTCTCCACGGACATTGAAGTAGCTCTCCAACACATCTATCTGATTACCAGCATGGAAAACTGCAAAGTTGAAGGCTGTTCCGTGGCGTCGCGCTCCAAGGGTCCAAGAGGTTGTGCATGACCATCCGAAGGTTCTGCTGCAGCTTTTCTGGTTGTCGATCTTGCCCATTTGAAGTCTTCCTCTTCTGAAGAGGTGTGCATCACGAAGGTCTCAGCATGGTTGTTGTAGTTGGCGGTGACTGTGTTGAAGTGCCTCGTAGATGAGGTCGATGTAGTGGAGTCTGGGATGCCTTCGGACAAGTCGATCTTGGGTCTTGTAGACGATGAAGACGAGTACCAGTAGCGCTTGCCCTTGCCACTGGATCCATATTTTCCTCCATACTTTCCACCATACTTGCCTCCACCGTACTTCCCATAGCCCTTCGACTTTCCAAAGCCTTTGTAGGGTCTGTAGCCACCATAGCCCTTGCCCTTGCTTTTGCGTCCAAAAGCATAGCCTTTTGTCTTTCCTTTTCCATGTTCTTGTCGATTTGATGGCAAGGGACAGTCGCGGGCCAGGTGCCAACGTGAGCCACAGTTGAAGCATCCTTCTCCACCTTTGTTTGCCCTTGGCTCTTCCACCTTTGTAGTAGTCCTCTTGGATCTGCGTCTCATCCTTGTTCTCGGCATCCACAGTCTCGTTGGCTCCAGAAGGTTTCTATTCTTCGTGGGACTCTTCTCGCCAGCCAGCATCACCATCCCAGTAGTAGCTGCCGGTGTCATTGTCATAGTCGTAGTCCCACCAATCATCTTCTTCTGGATATCCTTCATAGCCATACCACCATAGATCATCCTCATTCCAGTCCTCCTCATAGGGCCCCTCATCCATGTAGTCGGCATAGAAGATGTCATGGTCGTTTTCTGTTTGGGCTGAGTCTCAAAGCCAGGCCTTTTGCATCGTCGAATCTGCTGTAGTCTCCGTTGACCTGCAACTTGATGTCGTCGATGGTCTTTGCTGGTAGTCCGCTGTGCTTGAACCAAAGGTAGAACTTGGCGACGTTGTTCAACTGAGTCCTGATCTGTCCTGCGCCTCGTCATACCTTGTCTCGAACTCCACAGCGTACTCAGCCAGGCTCAGCCAGTGACATCTTTTGGCCTTGCCTGGAGAGGCCAAAGAACTTGTCCAACGCTGCTGTTGCAAGATCTTGGTCACGTTGTCCGAAAGCTTGTCGGAGCGCGTGCATGAGGTACTGCACTCCGCTGGCTATGTGGTTCTGGATGATTGCACCAGTGTTGGGGTCCACCACCTCGTCGACAGCCAGTCGGGACAAAGTGTCAGGGCCAATGTCCAGCTGTCCATCAGGCATCGGGATCCTCAAAGACATTGCCACCTTCGCCGCCCGACCATGTAGTCTGCCGGCTATAAGTGGTCCGTCCGACAACTTCATCTTCAGCTGTCGTTGTCTTGTACCAGAGCTGCAGTTTCTCTAGGTACAATCTTAAGGGGGAACTAGGATCCCCAGGGGCCCAACCCGGTTGCGTATCCCTCCTGAACTCCTGAAGTGGCAAAGTCCCCGTCGATGTCGGTGGATTCATCGTGTAGAGCTCGTTCACCACTGCCACCAGTGCTCGTGGAGCAAATGCCGTAGGTCTCTGCAAGGAGGGGCTTGAAGAGCTCGTACGCCACTTCCACCAATGCAAGCAAGTGCCAAAGACCTCGACGGTGATCGGCCAGTAGATGGCGTTCGCCACGTCAGGAAGCCGTAGGCCTTCCGCAGAATGAAGATCAACGGAGAAGAGCTCGAAGGTCAGGTCCAGGAGCCTGCTAGTAGAGCTCTTCAAAGATGTAGCCCTGGATCGTGCCACAAGGAGCAACCTGCCGCAGAGGCTGCCAAAGATGGTGACAAGAACTTGGAGCAACCGCTGGAAATAGTGGCCACCCTCAGGTGGCAGCCTGTCACCACAGGCGGCAGCCGAAGGAGCGAAGCGACGCAAAAGGGCGAACGCTAATGGCAGGGAGCCCGGGACGACCGGGCTCCGCTGCCAAACTCACTTTGAACCAGCTCAAGGCGCCTGCGGTCGGACGTCCTGTGAACAAATACTACACTGATCATAGCCATAAAGCTGAGATAGACCTCTGTGAAATTCACTTACATATTATATTAAATCCTATTTCATACTGATGTTTATTCCGTTGATCTCGTTTTGAATGATGGGCCAGATCTAGCCAGTCATATTTACCGCCTGGGAATCCTGGAACTGAAGCGGAGGAAATGATCGAGGCGGCCAAGCTGGTGCCGAAGCAGAGCATCACAATCTGGGGCTCGGAGCTGATTTAGGGATACCCAAGGGGTTGTGTCTCCAGCATTGCATGCAATAAAAGGCGTGTAATGTGGAGTAATGTAATCTAATCTGATGTAAAGCAACGCAATGGTTCGTATGTATGCAATGTAAGTAACGTGATGTAATGGAAGGGAAAGTCGCGTCACGTCATGTCACGTCATGGATGTACTGAAGGTATGTATGCCTGTGCATCATGAGTCGGTGCGTACATGTGTCCCCTTCTGTCTGTATCCTTTATGTAATGTACATGTAAATACTTGTGTGTGTGACATATACACGCATCCATTCTTCTTGTCTTTTCTTTTACATCACCCTGAGATTCTGACACGGTCTTGTCAGAGCTGAATCTGGCAAGTTTCTGCAAAGTTAATGAGAAGTTACTGTATGGGCTGAGATAACCTGCGAGGCACAGGAGCAATACATCCCATGAGAAAGGTCTTCTTGTCTCTCATGGCTGTGAATGCCCGTCGCTCCAACAGAGCTCGAATTTGCTGGCCGATAGTGCCACCTCGAGTGAAACTATCGCAACATTGCAACAGCATTCGGCATCACAATATCTTCATGACTCCCCTCGAAATCTGAGGATCAAACACCCAACATAGAAATTGAGCACACAGCAGTATTGGTATCGTGCTATCGGTGCTGGACGGTCCCCATCCCACCTGCGTTGGGCATGACGAAGGTCGGTCCAGAAGCTGGTGCTTCTACTTCCTGCATGGCCTGTTGGAAGGAGGTTTCCTCAGTCGCAGTTGGCCCAGGGATGTTTCGCCGATTTCAGGCAGTCTCGGCCGGAAACGGAAAGTTCCACGGAAAGCCATGAATTTTCCTCAAATCGTGCCAGAAATGCTGTACCGAATCCAAGAGTCTGTTTCCTCCTGCTCCTTCTTGTTGCCGTGGTCGCCACTGGCAACTTTCAAAAAGACCTGGACAATGGTTTCCAAAGGAATCACCGAAAAAGAAAAAACATTTGAACTCTGCCCCTCTCGGAAAAAAAGAAACAGTCAAGGTTGGATAATGGTTTGGGGCACCTTGACATCTCAAATCCATGTCTACTATATAAAAATTCCCCGTCATGGCCAAAAAAACAAAGCAGATTGTATTAAACTACCCGTCCGCTTAGTTTCGACCTGATACATATCCTACTAAACCATATTAAGCCCCATTTTTTGGTGGTTAGTCATGATAAGTCCCCATGCTTGATGAGCAAACATGTTCCGTCCCCCGTCCCATCGATGAGGTGGCCTCCTCCAAATTGGAGACCGATACCCCGAAAGTGGCCACTGACAAGTCTGCCTACACCCGCGACATTTGGAGAGTCGGTCTGGGCACCCAAAAGGACCTCACCCAAAAACTCACCCAACATGTATGATATGCATATAATTATGCATATCTATCTGTATAATTATTTAACTATGCATATGTATATATATATGTATATATATGTGTGTGTCTGCTGATATGTATACCATTTGCATACATACATACCATACCATATCGAATCATACCGTTCCATACCATACCACACAATACCATACCGCACCATACCATACCATAACACTACACTACACTACACTGCACTGCGCTGCACTACACTACACTACATTACATGCATACGCATATGTGTATATATATATATATCTGTGTGTGTGCATTGTCTGTCTGTCTGTCTCCTATTTTGATGAAAATAATGAAAGTTGCAATCTAACTACCAGTAGTACCTGCGCGAGGCGGGGCGGAAGTTGCCTTAAGGATAAAAGAATTTTCTCATCTATAGAACTTGCATGCGCCGTGCGCCAGCCAAGCCCGTGCGTGCGTGCACTCTGCGAAAGTGGTGTCTTGTTTCACATGTCACATTTGAAGCTCCACTTCGCACTTCACACTTCTCACTGCAGTCTTCACACTTCACACTACACACTTCACACACACTTCACACTGCACTCTTCACACTCCACACTTCACTTCACACTGCACTCTTAAGACTCCACACTTCACACTCCACACTTCACACTGCTTCTTCACACTCCACACTTCATAATTCACACTTCACACTTCACAGTCCACACTTCACACTTCTCATTGCTTTCTTCACACTCCACACTTCACACTTCACACTCCACACTTCACATTGCACTCTTCACGCCCCACACTTCACACTGCACTCTTCACACTCCACACTTCATCTCATCTGAGCTCTTCTCACCTTATCCCAGCTCATCTCTTCTCATGTCATCTCTTCTCATATGTCATCTAAGCTTTCATGAATCACTTCCCAATACTACTACTAAGGAACTTGCATGCGCCGTGCGCCAGCCAGGCCCGTGCGTGCGTGCTTTGTACGAAGCTGTTGCAGTGTTGTTGTCCAAGAACATGACCTGCGCGCGACCCCGGTGCAATGCAACGTCTAGCAAACACATTCCTCACACTTCACATTGCATTCTTCACACCCCACACTCCACACTTCACACTTGCACTTCATTTCAACTCATCTCATCTGAGCTCTTCTCATCTCATTTCATGTCTTCCCATATGTCAGCTAAGTTCTTCTTGGCTATTTTCATATCACCTGAGCGCAGCTCAACCTTTTTCATCTCACCGAAGCTAGTCTCAACTCATCTCGAACCTTCTGCACGTCAGAAAGCTTAAGACAAAGATGCATTTACACAGAAGAATCTGTACAAAATACTTTGTCCTACAAAGCTTGCACAAAGCACGTCCCAGTACTACTTTGTACCACATAGCTTGCACAAAGCACTTCCCAGTACTACTTTGTACTACAAAGCTTGCACAAACCACTTCCCAGTACTACTTTGTACTACAAAGCTTGCATAAAGCACTTCCCAGTACTACTTCCCAGTACTACCAAGCTTGCACAAAGCACTTCCCAGTACTACTTTGTACTACAAAGCTTGCACAAAGCACTTCCCAGTACTACTTTCTACTACAAAGCTTGCACAAAGCACGTTCCAGTACTACCTTGTACTACAAAGCTTGCACAAAGTACTTCCCAGTACTACTTTTTACTACAAAGCTTGCACAAAGTCGTTCCCAGTACTACTTTGTACTACAAAGCTTGCACAAAGCACTTCCCAGCACAAGCTTGCCCGAAGTCGTTCCCAGTACTACATTGTACTACCAAGTTTGCACAAAGCAGTTCCCAGTACTACTTTGTACTACAAAGATTGCACAAAGCACTTCCCAGTATATACTACTTTGTACTACAAAGTTTGCACAAACTACTTCCCAGTACTACTTTGTACTACAAAGCTTGCACAAAGCACTTCCCAGTACTACTTTGTACTACAAAGCTTGCACAAACCACTTCCCAGTACTACTTTGTACTACAAAGCTTGCACAAAGTCGTTCCCGGTACTACTTTGTACTACAAAGCTTGCACAAAGCACTTCCCAGTACTACTTTGTACTACAAAGCTTGCACAAAGCACTTCCCAGTACTACTTTGCACTACCAAGCTTGCACAAAGCACGTTCCAGCACTACTTTGTACTGCAAAGCTTGCACAAAGCACTTCCCAGTACTACTTTGTACTACCAAGTTTGCAAAAAGCACTTCCCAGTACTACTTTGTACTACGACGCGTGCGCAAAGCACTTCCCAGTACTACTTTGTACTACAAAGATTGCACAAAGTACGTCCCAGTACTACTTTGTGAAACAAAGTTGGCACAAAGCGTTTACACACAGCAAGCTTTTACACACAAAATCTTTTACACACAGCAAGCTTTCACACACAGCAAGCGTTTACACACAGAACACTTACACACAGTGCTTTTACACATGGCAAGCGTTTACACACACAGCAAGCTTTTTAAACAAAGAAGCTTTTTAAACACAGAAGCTTTTACGCACAACAAGCTTTTACACAGAGAAGCTTTTACACACAGCAAGCTTTTACACACAGCAAGCTTTTACACACAAAATCTTTTACACACAGCAAGCTTTCACACACAGCAAGGGTTTACACGCAGAACACTTACACACAGTGCTTTTACACATGGCAAGCGTTTACACACAGAAACTTTACACAGAGACGCTTTTACACACAGCAAGCTTTTACACACAGCAAGCTTTTACACACAAAATCTTTTACACACAGCAAGCTTTCACACACAGCAAGGGTTTACACGCAGAACACTTACACACAGTGCTTTTACACATGGCAAGCGTTTACACACAGAAACTTTACACAGAGACGCTTTTACACACAGAGAAGCTTTTACACACAGGAATTGCAGCTCCAAAACCGGATCTCGGCGCCAAAGCGAAAAAAAGGCGATTTTGAAACACTTTTTAAAAGGACTTTTTAAATGAAAATTACTAGCGCCAAAATTGCGAAAATCTGCTGACAAATCACTTTCGCAGCCTTGATGCAGCCACTCCAATACGATTAACGAGATCCAGCTGCACAAGACAATAGTATTACGCATGCAGCCGCGGCAGCAAGCAACCTTGACGCAGCCATTACAATGCGTTTCGCAGCATAGTGTTGCAAACCTGCACATCTCAACGCACATGGCAACACCAGATGACAACAATCATGCAGCCATTCCAATGCGATCTGCAACCACAGGTTCAAGAAACGCAAAGAACTACGCACACAGGAACAAACACAACCGCCGCACACACGAGGTACCTTTCATCGCCGGCTGCAACCACTTTACACAGAAAAATACAAGGTTTCGTGCTCCGGCTTCCTCCCCAACACAAGCCCCATGCAACATTCATGCAGCCATTACAATGCGTTTCGCAGCATAGTGTTGCAAACCTGCACATCTCTACGCACAGTGTTGCAAACCCGCACATCTCTACGCACGTGGCAACATCAGATGACAACAACGAACCAGCCATTCCACTGCGATCTGCAACCACAGATTCAAGACACGCATAGAACTACGCACACAGGAACAACCACTCGTTGCAGAACACAGAGGAGGAAGCCACCGCGTCCGGAACGACCCCAGCCGCAACCGCCGCACACACGAGGTACCTTTCATCGCCGACTGCAACCACTTTACAAGGCAAAATACAAGGTTTCGTGCTCCGGCTTCCTCCGCAACACAAGCCCCATGCAACATTCATGCAGCCATTACATTGCGTTTCGCTGCATAGTGTTGCAAACCTGCACATATCTACGCACGTGGCAACATCAGATGACAACAATCAACCAGCCATTCCACTGAGATCTGCAGCCATTGGTTTCAAGACACGCATAGAACTACGCACACAGGAACAAACACTCGTTGCAGAACACAGAGGAGGAACCCATCGCGTCCGGAACGACCCCAGCCGCAACCGCCGCACACACGAGGTACCTTTCATCGCCGGCTGCGACCACTTTACACAGAAAAATACAAGGTTTCGTGCTCCGGCTTCCTCCCCAACACAAGCCCCATGCAACATTCATGCAGCCATTACAATGCGTTTCGCAGCATAGTGTTGCAAACCTGCACATCTCTACGCACGTGACAACATCAGATGACAACAACCAACCAGCCATTCCACTGAGATCTGCAGCCATTGGTTTCAAGACACGCATAGAACTACGCACACAGGAACAACCACTCGTTGCAGAACACAGAGGAGAAACCCATCGCGTCCGGAACCACCCCAGCCGCAACCGCCGCACACACGAGGTACCTTTCATCGCCGGCTGCAACCACTTTACACGGAAAAATGCAATGTTTCGTGCTCCAGCTTCCTCCGCAAACCCTACGTCACCTCTGATGAAAAGTCTCACACCAAAGTCTCACACCAAAGTCTCGCACCAAAGTCTGACACCACCCTGCATTTTTTGTATTCTTATGTCATGTAAAGTCTCACACCAAAGTCTCACACCACCCTTCATTGAGTGTATTGTTACAGGTAAAAGTCATCCGTAACTCGGAAGATTGCTTCCCAACTTCCTTTGATTAGTCTATGTTAATTATGTTAATTAATGTTTTCTCCACATGTTTTTTGTTCCGTGTTGAGTCCTGCCTTTTGCTTTGCTAGACCAGCCAACATGGAAGACAATTCGCTTTCCAACTCCATTGGGACATTCACCAAGATCTCTTTGCCAACACCTGGCGCTGGTTGTCGTTCGTCGGGTTTTAACCCATGAATATAAGTACGAATAGATAAAAATAGATAAAAATAGATAAGAATAGATAAAAATAGATAAAAATAGATAAAATATCTGACATAAATCCTGGAAGACGATCCAAACAAACTAAAATCAAGCCAACCAGAGTCAAAACGTAAGCTACTGACACGCCTAGTTATAAACCAAATCTCAGGACAGATTAATAGACCCCCACAATAAAACAAAACAAAGATTCCTAATTTTGCGGACATGTCTAAAAACCCAAAGAAACGCCAATTCTAATTCAGTTTCAAAATAGTGTAGATTCCAATTCAAATTTAAGTGGAGGTGCTTAGAGCCAAGTCTCATTTAATTTCAACTCCAAACATTTAAAGTCAGTTTAAATCCACTTTCAAGTTAAATTCAATTCAAATTCAAGCAAGTCAGTTCAAATTAGAATCCGTTCGAATTGAATTCACAATCAAATTCAACTCAAATCAACTCTAAGCCAAGTTGAGGTCAACTTAGAATCAACTTAGATTTAAAAACAGTATCTAAGTATCTACGTCTAAAAATCCAAAATCTTCTCAAAATTGAAGCTCAAAAACATATTCTCAATTAGCAAGAAAGCTTTACCTGACTCCATGTCCGGGGTCTCAAGAAGTATGTTTAGGCTTCAACTTGGCTTGAGGCCCCAGAATGCTTAGCGGGGATGTTCATCAAATGTGGACATTAAATTTAGGTGCCTTCAAAATACGTCACCCCGCCAAGACTTCATTTGAGAACCAAAGTGGGGCACCTTTTAAAGTGCATATAATTCGTCTGGTAGGTTAAAAGTGGAGTGGGGGGCATGATTGAAAGATATTGAAAGTAAGGGGGAAAAGACTCCACAGCAGATGTTCCTGAACCATTCCATCCGCTGCAGAAGCCACAGTTTCATCAGGTTCTAAGCCCCAGACCGCTGATCTCGGGCCGTTGGCCCATGACGGAGTGCACCAGCTTCTTCACCGGTTCATGGTCATCATCCCTTTCTTTCATGACCTGGCACACCAAGTGGATCCAAGCGGTGCCTAGGATCCATGGTCATGATGGTCAAATGCACCTGTGGTGTTGAGCCTCCATTCAATCAGAATCATCTTTCCAACGAGATTTATATACCAGCAGCTTCCAAGGACCCACGCTACGATTTTAGAAGCTATGTTATCTAAGGGTATGCCAGGGTATGCCGTAGCAGCATCCCTTAGCCAAACCAAAAAATCACAACAGGATACGGTGATAATTAACGATGTTGATAGCACCATTTTTGGGAGAGATGGTTGGAGGCGAGCTGGAGGGGTGCCATAGTGACACCCCTTACAGTAGCCTAAGGGGGTGCCGTAGTGACACCCTCCCCCCCCCCGCCGACACGCGAATGACACGTTCGCCATTTTTGGGGTGCCAAAAAAAAACAACTCAAAATCATCGCTTCGGTGCCCTAAAATAACAACAAAGATGAGATGTATATCCCAGATAGCCCAAAACAGAGCTTAGAAATTAAGGGGCGTCGTGGTGAAATATGCGATAAATCCCTGGGCATCTCAAAGGAAACCGGAACAACCACCTCAAAACCCATGACAACCACAACCCATTGCCGATGGCTATTCAACTTATCTAATACTTTGGTGGGTTTGTTTGGAAAATCTTCCCGCATCTATCATCCAACTCGTTCCGAGGCGAATGGCAATGGTCAGCACGTAGCCACATCCAAAGCGGCGTTTCAAGAAATCCCCAGTGCCGCAGGCTTGAACTGCACCTGGAAATCGTCTGTGTTGGCACAAGATGGGATGGGAATGTTTGCAGCAGGCCTGTAACTGCAGTATCTGTCGAAGGCTTCGTATGGTCGTCGAATCATGGGTAACATCGGTTTACTGCTTCAAAGCTACCAACCCGGTATCCAACCCGGTCATTTGTCCCTGTGCAAGTCACCCCACCTGCCCTCATGATGGCCACACGATCACCGAGAACACCCGCTTCATCCATGAAGTGAGTTGTGAGCAGCATCACTCGACCCTGACCTCAGGTGACAGAGTTCCGTCCTTGCTGAATCTGGTGAAATGAGCCAAGCCCCGCTGCAAGAATGGAACGAAAATATGGAATCTATGTTGAAAAAACATGAATCAACCGCGATGTTGAAATCGGCCAACAACCCCCCAGTTTTTCATCGTTTTTCCTTGCCCAGTAGCGCCGGAGCTTCAAGAAGTCCCACAGGCCGCGGCGACTGAAGGGGTCCATGCCACTAGTCGGTTCATCCAAAATGACCAACTTGGGATCTCCTGAGTCAAGAAGCATCAACTCATCATCAACTCATCAACATTGATCAAGTGCATCAACTGTTCGTTGATGCCAATGGCAATTTGGTAATTTGAGTCTGATCCCAAAAGCCTGAGTGAATTCCTGAAGTTGAGGGCCTCCCGCCTGAGAATGCCAGGCCCACCGAGAGCTTTCGCTTCATGCCCCCGGAGAGGGATGTCACTTTGTAGTTGGCGCCTCGCGTGAGGCATCGCTGGGACGGAAATGTCGCCCCGATATCTCAAAAGCATGAGATCAAACGTGGCTATTGGGCTGAAATGGAAAAATCATCCTAACCATGCCAATCATCCCAACATATCCCAATACAGTAATGTCCCAATCATATGGTACAAAAAGTCGAAAACTTCCACCGTGTAATGACGCGCAACTACCGCGACGAATCTCGAGCGCGTCCAAGTTGCGAGTCTCGAGTCCGATGTCCGCCACCAATTTGAAGACATCGGCCTCTTCGCCTGGGGATAGCCATGATAACACCTTGCCCAAAAAATGGTACAGTAATGTACGATGCATATTATATATATAATAACGATAATAATAATAATAATAATAAAAAGAAGAAGAAGAAGAATATGTTTTTGCTATTTTTTTAGTAGAAGCATTGGTATTAGTCTCAAGCATTATTATTGTTAATAATAGTAGTAGTACTACTACTACTACTATACTACTACTACTACTACTACTACTACTACTACTAGTACTACTAGTAGTAGTAGTAGTAGTAGTGGCAGCCTTTGTTAATAGCATCATTGCTATTTATAGATATATAAAAATATATAAAAATATCCCCCTGCAAATTTACCCCCCTGACCCAAGGCAACCATTTTGTAAGGGACCCAGGAGTTAACCTTACAAACATCCATGGTTAGGGGTTTACAAAATGGGTTGGGCACCAGGCTTGGTGTGATTCCCCAGCAAACACCGGTGAACCCCAAAAAAATCAAAAATCGGCTCCTTACAAAATGGTTGCCCCAAGTTAATTTCCAGGCCCCAAACCCAATCATCTTATAAGCTTGTCTCTTAAAAAATGGTTTGTTTGGAAACATGTCTTACTTGTACAAGTCCAACTTTCCCCAGGGAACCCCGCATTTTTTTCCCAGTCCCCAAGGTTTGGAAAAACAATCCCAGAAAGTTTGATATCACCTTTTCTGGTTGGTTGACTTAGTGGTGTCTTGCCGGTTCTTCACACATCAATGGTGGAACCCCGAAAAAAAATAGAGAAGAAACCCTGGTTCCTGGACATGGCCAAGATTTCAATACCCTTTTTTGCACTGCCTGAAATAAACCCAAAATTGCGTTATGAAATGATTGGCCCCGAGTTCATTTTGTAAAGAAAGTTGGCTCTTACAAAATGAATCGCCCAGCAAAAAACACTCTTTTGGCATGGTTGACCAGAAAAATGTCCTTACAAAATGCCTCCTTTTGTTAGAAAAATGCCCCTGGAATGGAACATGGGTCAAGCCATTTCATAGTGGAAATGTACACAGGGATATAAAAATATATAATATAACTATGCTGTTATCATTGATCAATTTCGACTGTAGAAACGACCAAGCTCATTTGGTGACCATTGTTGTTCCTGGGTTTCAGTTTTTGACGCATCTCCATCCCATTTCCCGTGGTATCTGGGATCTGGGATACCAGGCTCCGAGTTCGACCCGCCAGGGTCGAAAAGAGATCCAGGTGTTGGACCACCGTCATGGCTGGAAAGAGCACATCGTGCTGGGGACAAAAACCCATGGACTTTCGGACCTCTGCCAGATCTTTGGGAACCTTGAGGTCAAAGACCGCAATGCTTCCTTCGCCAGTCACGAAGTCACAAGCTGGTGTGAAAACGCTGGGAAAACACCAAGACGCCAGCCTTTGGTAGGAGCTGTGAGGCCGCAAATGGCTGACATCGTGGTGGATTTGCCTCGCAACACGGCACCAGGAACAGCATGGAACAGCATGGAACATGGGCCGATGTGGGATGATGTGGGCTGCCAGGTGACCTGCTCCATTGTGCCCCAGCAGTGCAAAGATTTCGCCCGGGAACCTGGTGCCATGGATGCCATGGATGCCATGGATGCCATGGGTGAAGTGGACTCCTCACATGATCTGATCTGAGCCCAGCTGCATGACCAGATTCACTCCATCCACAGCACGGATCTCTTCAGAGTAGATGCCCTTGAAGTAAACGCACAGGTCCTTGGTGTGAGAGATTATCTGAATCTGATCGAATCTGCCTGCTGATGCTCTTACTGTCATCTGGATCCACTTGCTGGGAATGCTGGCCAGATCTTGCCAGCATCCCTGCACAAGACCACCTTCTGCAATGTATACTTGCCTGCCAAAGCCGCACCACATGCTGCTAGGCTTCATCCACCTTCACGCAATTTTTTGCCAGGATTTGTGCCATATTTGTGTGGTCCACCTTGGCTACATCCCCACGGTCACCCTGCAATGCCCTGCCCACCCAGATCTCCGAGGCCCAGGACTTGTTCAATCAACGAACTGCGGCCCTGGATAGACAGGGTCTCATCCACTGATCTCCGACCTCGAAGCTCAAAAAACCGAGTGATGCTGATGGCCTGATGGCAGCTGATGGCTGCTGGGGGCCGCACCTGTTGGAGCGGCTGCAGCAGTTGGAGCGTCCGCTGCTGCTTGGGATGGTTGCCATTGGGATGGCATCTGTGCCTTGGTGAACTTTGCTGTTTTCGCCATCTGCATCCACTGAAAAACCTAGGGGCCCGGGCAGCTCCATCTGCGGGTGTTTGACCTGAGGATGCCGACCACACTCAAATAAATACACAGCATTTTCCATGATAGATCCTACCATCCTACCTACACCGCTGAATGCATGTCGATCGGATCAGTCTCTGCACATACGTGCCCGAAGAGGAATGCATGGGGTTCATCCTGGCTGCTTGCTTTTACCTTTGCATCTTTGAATCTCTCTCTCTCTCTCAGCTAAGCTAAAGGCAAGTGAAAAACAACCACTCCACCAGGGCAGACAGGAATATATACAATATATATGTAATTCTGCACATATCATGTTGTTATAATTAATTTTCTATGTGCAGAATAACGCCTACGTGAAACGTGTGAAGTCCCGAGGAGAGCACCATCCTGCAGCAGCCACGGGTCTCGTGCCTGGCCGCTCCCAGCGTGGTCCCCCCACCGTGGTCCCTGCCGTGGTCCCGTGGAGCCTGGCGGTCCATCAGCTCGGTGCCCTGCTGCCCGGGAGTCATCTTGATGACGCCATCTTCACCTGGTCGGGATTCACATGGGAATCAAATAGGATGTAGAGATGGGATGTAAAATGATATAAAGATACATAAAGATGGGCAAGTTAAATCTGATGCGAATGACACTATGGCGACAGATCAACAGGTCATAGATGGTCATAGGTATCTGCTCACAAGGCTTCACCTTGGATCCATCCTTTCCAGTACGCAGGATCGCAAGGAAACCACGGCTTCTGGGCAACTCCCTGGTGCGGTATGACCTCCACACAGGTCGTTCCACTGGATGCCACTGGTCCCATCCCATGGGTCCCATTCCCACCTGATCGAGGTATAGCCACAGCAAGATCCAAAGGATGCAATCCACCAGCAGAATGAAGAAAGTGCCGGCGAGAGAATAGCTGCCCTGGCACAGAATGGTCGGCATTCGTTCCTGTTGATGTCAACATCTCATAACACGTCTTAACGCACTCAAAAGCCCCCAAGTATATTTTCCCTATAGGTCAGTATAGATCCCGAGTAGCGTCTATAGATATCTCCAGCCATAGTGCAGTGCCAAAACTCATCCAAGCTGCGTAATCGTCAGGCCCGCTCCATTGGTTAAATTCCCTTGTGATGAAGACTGTCAAGGCCTGACAATGGCCATGGCATATGCCAGACCGGCCGTGGTCGACCATGCAATGTGGCATTCACATCTGTAGCACCCACCTTGCCGTAGGTGAATTGAGGGAAGAGCAAGAAGAGAAAATCTTTGCCCGAGGGTGGCATGAAGGAGAAGCAGCAAATGCAGATGTAGATCACCATGGTCAGCAGCTGACTGGTCAACACGGTGCTGAGGAAGGTGGACATCACGAAGCCGAAAAAGGCCAAGTTGCTAAAGAAGAGAAAGGACTTAGCGCACAGAAAGGCTAACAATGGGCTTCTGGCAGCCGGGTATAACCCCAACCAATATCAACTATATATATATATATACATGTATGTACAATATCTATACATTACATAATAGCCATTTGACCGGGCATCTGTGATGATTCACCAGTGGATTTAAGATGATTTATAGTAAGGTGTTTTAAGATTGTGTAAGATCATTCAAGATGATTGCAGGACATGACACGACATGGCGACATGACGTGGCATGACACGAAGCTACGTGGGGAAGGGGTCGGTAAGTTGAATTGAGCGTTGTGGTGGCAGTCACAAAATATGATGGATGTTGGTTGAGAAGGGCGCATCAGCAAAGTGCAGGTGTAATGTTAGTAAACCAATAAACCATCCCCCAAATAATCATAAATAGTTGTTGCCATAAACCATTCCCAAATGGGTGGTTTATTGTTGTTTTTCCCACATTAGTGGGGATGTGGGTTCAAAAAACTGTTGCTATCAATTTCGGACCTTCTATCCTCGGGTACAGGAATCAAACCTAGGGAGATTGGAATGCCCTGTTATTGAACATTGTGCCCTTCCATTGCCGTGTTTGTTTACTTGGGGACCTCGGTCAGACTATGTCAGACTCATGCATGGTTAGTAAGCTGTGGTATACTCCAATATATCCCGGGTGTAACCATGCATAACCACAGATTTGGGGATCAGGTGCTGATGGGATTCAACTGGCTTCGTGAAACTGCAAGGGGTGTCTTCCTGATTTTGGAGACCAAAAAAGAAGGGAACCTCAGCCACGAACGGAACCAGTATCCATATCTACGCCAGGCGGCATCCCACCAGAAGATCGGAAAGATCCAAAAGTTGCTGAAGAAGCTGAGGCCGGGAAAGAAAAACCACAAGATGGAATTGGCCCAGGCATACCTGAAGCCATTCGAAGTGCGGAACAGCCACAGCCAACAGAGCCAAACTCCTAGTCATCGTTGCCCTTGTGTCATCTTGTGTCACGTCAAGCTGTGGGCGCATTGGACACTGTTCAAGCCATAGAGAGAGAGAGAGAAAGAGAGAGAGAGAGAGAAATGAAGGAAAGAAAATTAATGAAAGAAAAGGAAAAGAACAGAAAAAAAAATAAAAGAAAGGAAGAAAGAAAGGAAAGAAAGAAAGAACGCTACCAAAACGTGGCCAAAGGACGCAAAAGCCTGCAACATGGCATAGGCGATCCAGTGACCATAGTAGGCCACGCCACTGCAGCCCACCACGCGCAATCCCTCCTAGTGCTCCGGCAGCGAGACGGCCCTAGCACTGGTTGAAATGACCCACCAGTCCGTTGGGGATCACTGTACCATCATCCATCATCCCAGATGCAGATGGAAACTAGAAAATATATGAATAGTAATATGATTGTGCATATATTCTTATAGCTAATACTTGAAAGTAAAACAGGAATCACATGCAACGTATTCAATCAATTCAGCCAAGAAGTCCAAATGATTGAACCACCAGCATTTAGATACAAGAAACAGTGATCTGTGTGAGTGACACAGAGACATGGCATGGTGTGAAACTTGGAGTTCCACAACACATCAAGGGAAAAAAACCCTCCTTCAGAGGGGCTGTAATGTATTTATTCTTCATGATTTTTCCCGGGCCTCTCTAGTTTGCCCTATCCATCCCAGTAGCCATCCCATTTTTCGTCCGTGTCCTTCCGCTTTTCCTCACGTTCATTGACCAGCCGTGAAACCGTCATCAACACATTCATCATGAAAACGATGGACACCATGGCCTCGGCGGTGGTTCAAAACGTCGAGTCGAACCGCTGAGTCGCCTGGCGGAGTCGGCGCTCGCTGAGTCCCTGACACCAAAGAGACTGCCCCACAGACTTCCTGGCAGATACCGAATGCGGCCAGTTGTCTACACCCTAATTTATGTACCCAGTTCAATATACCTAAAGGATCTTAAAGGGGAACAATGCGATCTGAACCCTAAGGGGGACCAATTTGAAGACCTCATACAGTAACATGTGAACTTTTTGGAATAACCCGAGCAATAAATAAAAGGACCGGATAACCCCACAAGTCAACTTCTTCCAATAATGAGCCAGAAATGTTGTAGCGGGAACGGGGAAGGAAGGAAAGACAAAGGGACAGGTGGAGGAAAGATGATGTGTGACAAAGTTGTGTGTGTGAAAGATGATGTGGTGAAAGATGGTGTGTGACAAAGCGGTGTGTGAAGGATGGTGTGTGAAAGATGGTCTGTGACGGTCTAGGAAAGATGGTGTGTGACAAAGTGATGTGTCAAAGATGGTGTGTGACAAAGTTGTGTGTGAAAGATGGCGTGTGAAAGATGGTCTGTAACGGTGTAGGAAAGATGGTGTGTGACAAAGTGGTGTGTCAAAGATAGTGTGTGACAAAGTTGTGTGTGAAAGATGGTATGTAAAAGATGGTGTGTGACAAAGTCAAGTGCGAAAGAGGATGTGTAAAGGATCGTGTGTCAGAGATGGCGCATGAAAGATGGAATGTGAAAGAAAGGGTGTGACAAAGTTGTGTGTGAAAGATGGTGTGTGACAAAGTTGTGTGTGAAAGATGGTGTGTGACAAAGATGGTGAGTGAAAGTTGGTGTGTGAAAAATGTAGTGTGTGAAAGATGGTGTGTGCAAGTTGTGTGTGAAAGACAGGGTGTGGCAAAGTTGTGTGTGAAAGTTGTGTGTGAAAGAAAGGGTGTGACAAAGTTGTGTGTGAAAGATGGTGTGTGACAAAGTTGTGTGTGAAAGATGGTGTGTGACAAAGATGGTGAGTGAAAGTTGGTGTGTGAAAAATGTAGTGTGTGTAAAAGATGGTGTGAGAGCTAGCCCCAGAACTCCTCCAGGAGGCTCTGTGTACTGCGCCTACCACGCAAAAGGCAGCCGCGGGCCAGCGGCGGCCACGCGCGCCGCAGCTCAGGCTCTGTGCTGCGCCTGCCACGCAAGAGGCAGCCGCGGGCCACCGGCGACCATCCGCAGCTCCGCCAGGAGGCTCTGTGTGCTGCACCTGCCATGCAAGAGGCAGCCGCGGGCCAGCGGCGGCCACGCGCGCCGCAGCTCCGCCAGGAGGCTCTGTGCACTGCACCTGCCACGCAAGAGGGAGCCGCGGGCCAGCGGCGACCACGCGCGCCGCAGCTCCACCAGGAGGCACCTGCCACGCAAGAGGCAGCCGCGGGCCAGCGGCGGCCACGCGCGCCGCAGCTCCGCCAGGAGGCTCTGTGTACTGCACCTGCCACGCAAGAGGGAGCCGCGGGCCAGCGGCGGCCACGCGCGCCGCAGCTCCGCCTGGAGGCTCTGTGTACTGCACCTGCCACGCAAGAGGCAGCCGCGGGCCAGCGGCGGCCACGCGCGCCGCAGCTCCGCCAGGAGGTCTGTGTACTGCACCTGCCACGCGAGAGCGAGCCGTAGTGATGAGTGAGATGTGAGAAGTGGTGTAGTGATGGTGATGGAGATGTGATGAGTGAGATGTGGTAAGTGAGAGAGAGAGAGAGTGAGTGAGTGAGTGAGTGAGTGAGTGAGTGAGTGAGTGAGTGAGTGAGTGAGTGAGTGAGTGAGTGAGTGAGTGAGTGAGTGAGTGAGTGAGGCGGCGCGGCGGCGGACGGAGGAGAGCGGCGGGATCCAAGCGAAAAACAAGAACCCCACACAGTGATGTGGGGAACACCCCTAATTTGAAGGCGTACTTTTTTTAAAATTCGCAACATTGTGTCATTAGGTATGAAAATTAAAGTACAGGTATGATTTTGATATGTTTTGTATGTTGTGTCTTCAATTTTCCATGATGGGGAAATATACTTTGGCCCACCCTTTGAAGGATCTCAAAACTGTCGGGGCCAAACTGCGCAGTTCTCTAGGCCCAACCAACTGAAAACGGATGGACCTACAAATAGCTGGTCTTTTGCGAATAAGACTCGTCAACCATCCAATTTCATCCAGAATTTTAATCTGTACCCCCATGACAAAACAATGCGCCATTTCGGGTGGCTTCTCCTACATCGCCCGAAGTCGGCGGATGGAACTTTTCCTCCAGCGTGGGAAAATCCACCGCCATGAACTCTGCAGTGGCTCCAGGATGAGCTCCTGGGAGGCTCTGGAATCCTCTGGATATGGGTAGGATATGGGTAGGTCTAACCAAAGATCACCCAATAGTGTAATCATAATTCCATATAATTCCAACAAATGAGCCACTCGTTGATTTCTGGAATTGGATGGAATTGGCATATTACACTGAGTGTGAGAGTAATTCATCAAGAAAAGAAATTCAAGAAATCAACTTCTTCCTGAAAGGCCTGCCCCGCGGGAAAGACTTGGCAAAGGGCAGGCACTACACAAAAAGCACATAGAAAGTACTTTGGCAGTTGGTGTTTTTGTTCCCTTGGTTCTCATTTCTTGAGATACATTGCTTTTCAGTATATACTGACTTGTTTCTGAGCATCTTGTCTGTCAGTAATACTTGGCGTGCTTTTTCTGCCTCCCCGTCTATCTTTTCTGTCTACCAGGGCGTGTCTGAACACTTAGCAGCTGCATTTCAAGCCCTACACTTGACTTCACATTTGCCCTAAGACTTGAGACTTCATTTGATACTTGTGGCTTAAGACTTGACTTGATACCTCACCTCAGAATACCTCAGACTCAAATTGATACTTCAGACTTTGACGGCGTGAATTTGACCTACCTGGCGACGTGATGCTTCACGTGAGACTGCACCACTGCCAAGTCAGGGCTTCCGTGTTTTTGACTTGGAGGGGAGAAGAAAAGGCCATACCATGCTTTGTGGTCTTTATTTATCTTTATTTAGCAGTCTGGCTCCCATTAGCGATCTAACTTTGTTTTGACATGCAATAATAACATAAATTAGTACATGTATATCTATTATATATATATTATATATATACACAATAGGTCACAATAGTATCATTGATATCATCATCACCAAACAAGTCACCCCAATCCGCGCCCAAACAGTGCAGATGGAGCTCGGCCACGGTCCTGCATAAGCGTACTGGAATTTGCCTTGCAAACTCTTCTTGGCCACGGCGAAATCGCCCACCAAAATTTCCAATGTCATGGCCATACTTGGTGCATCTATGCTCCTGAGGGCATTGAAGATCGACAAATGAAAAGGGCACCCGGCCAAGGCAAATAGCGTTGCTGCGCTCTTGTCTAACTATGTCATAACTGAAGTTTGCTGAGCCCAGAACCTCTGTGAAATCCAATAGCGATCTACAAGCGATTCTCTTGTACCTTTGCCATACATGCTGCCTCAGTGTGCCAGGTGTCGCCATGGCCATGGCCATGTCCCGCCATGTCCCGCCATGGACCATGGCCCGGCAAAGGGCGTCAAGAAGCCGCCACTTTCGTCCATTTGCTCGCACTCGGCCTTGTTTTTCATGGTGCACCGCGTCTTCATCATTGCCGAATCCTCAGAAGAATGGATGCATTCGTGGCCCATGCGGATGCGTGGCGTACGTTGCTGAATGATCCACCAGATTGGGCCGAAGCTTCGGCAGTCGAGATCAGTCAAGAGCAGTCAAGGCACCCCCTCTCTACTTCTGCTCGGTACGAATTCCCTGGCTCAAGTGACACCGCCCCGGTTGCATCATGTTTCATCACACATTGCTGTGTGTTGCTGTCCTTTGCTGTGTTCCAAGCCTGCTAGAAGAAGAGAGCCATCCAATAGTTCGATTGACATGGATCTTCACTTTTTCTGGTTGATCGCCGAATTCCACCTCAAGTCTCCACAGGAACCTCTGACGCAGTTTCAAGGATTGTTTCAAGGTGACCACTTGGTCACCGTTTAGTCACCGTTTGGTCACCGAGGCGCTATAGCACAAACGCCATTGTTTGGCACTTTGCCCTCCAAGACCACCAAACGGGTCCTAGGGCGGCAAATCAAATCTGCCCCCCCCCACACCGCCTGTGGGTTGCGACCGGAGCCACGTGCAGCCCAAGAACGCAGGTTTGCATTTTGGTTGCCAGTTCTTGCCGGTGTCGGTGTTGAGGATTGCTTGCATGCCCTGCAAATGGTGGCATGTCACACTTAAATTCTCAACGTGCAGAACGCCAGGTTCTCACAAATTACAAGTATCCGTCCCAACTTACCCTGAGTTGCACCTATTTGGAGGTGGGCATGATCAAATCTTTCCGAACTTATCAAATCTACGAAATCTTTTTTCCTGACCATATCTGTCCACAATATTGCAACCTAGGCACCGCATCCACGAAGCTCTTGAATTCCTGGGCAAAGCTTCCCTGCAGCAATATGGGCGCATTACAGCTGCTGCAGGGATCGAAATCATTATCTGTGTTTTGGATGAAGATGCCCACCAGTGGTTGGAAGCTGCCGCGATGAAAGCTGCCTCAGGGGGGAAATATCCGGAAATCACTTGACAAAATTAATTTGACAAAGGCATTTTAAGCTTTTCTGGGGTCTGCATTTTTAACTGATGAACAATTGAAGAGGTTTTTGCGGCTGGTCCGTGAAACATGTGATGATTTTACCTTCAACAAATCGGGGATCTAGCATGATTCAACACACACATCTGTGTCGGATCCCATTGGTTTCCCGCCTTGCCATCGATGAACATATTCCAATTCCATCTGAGCAAGGAACCCATGGACTCGATGAAGCAAGGAACCACCGGTTCAAATATGGTTTGGTCTGAAAAGTTCATAGGGACAACGAGGAAAACATTGATATATATATATATATACAACAGGGATAAACCATTGGGATCCATTGGGATCCATTGGGTGGGTGCCTGTCAACTTCATGTCAGCGACGGAGCCAGCTGAGCCTCCACTTCCTGGTTCCATGAGATGAGGCTTGTTAACCGCAACCAGATGAGAAGGTTGCACAGGACCTAAAGTTGCAGTGTCCGCTGAAAAGGGCTGTTGTATGCTGTATAAATGGAAACCGACCTGAAAACACAAAGCGAATTAATGAAATGAATGAAATTGATGATATGGATGGACTTCAGGAAGGCCCCAAAGGCCCAAAATAGATAGTGTGACATATATGATTTGTGATGAATTGAACTGTGCCACAATGCTAGCAGGGTCTCCCTCTAGGATCCTCTAGGCCATTTCCAACGAAACGTTGGCACCTCACCCGTCCACAGGAATTGGATAACTTGGGGTTGCCAGTGCGGTGGTGTAGCCGCTGCATGCTATAGCTATAGCCACCATAGCCCCCATAGCCCCCATAGCCACATCCAAGTGACGATGAATGTGCAACAATACCTGAGGCCAGGCATGGCTTGGTTCAACGCTGGAAAGATCTGGAAAGGGCAACCGAGGCTGTCGAGGCTGCCGAGGCTCATGTGTTTACAAAGGCTGCGAGGACACTCTGAGAACATGTCCACAAAGTCCTCCAACGTCAAGTTGCTGAATAACTTGCGATCTGGAAATAAACATGATTTTCCTGGATTGCAGTAGATATTATATATATAATATAATATAAATATAAAATAATATAATATAATATAGTATATTATAATATATATATATACCAGTAGTACCGCACAAGGCGGTGGCGGAAGTTTCAAAAATAGGAAACCTATAGGAGAGATTGGTTGTTGTGAATCAGGGATGGCAGAGCGAAGCCACTGATGGACCGAAAGGTGCTTGAGGTCTCCTCTCTTTCTCTCTCTTTCTCTGACTATCTACCTACTTACCAACCTATCTTCTATGTATCTATCTATCTATCGATCTATCTCTCTCTCTCTCTCTTTCATCTAATTACCTATCTATCTATCTATCTATCTATCTCTCTCTCTCTCTCTCTTTCATCTGTCTATCTGTCTATCTGTCTATCTATCTGTCTATCTATCTATCTATCTATCTGTCTATCTGTCTACCTGTCTATCTGTGGTGCAGCATCATTCAGTGTAATGTAGTGTAGTGTAGTGGAGTGTAGTGTAGTGGAGTGTAGTGGAATGTAGTGTAGTGTAGTGTAATGTAGTGTAGTGTAGTGTAGTTGCGTAGTCGTAGTTGTATTTGTAGTGGAGTGTAGTGTAGTGTCATGTAGTACAGTGTAGTGCAAGGTAGTGTGGTGTAATGTAGGGTAGTGTAGTGGAGTGTAGTGTAGTGTAATGTAGTGTAGTGTAATTTAGTGTAGTGGAGTGTAGTGGAGTGTATTGTAGTGGAGTGTAGTTGTGTAGTTGTAGTTGTAGTTGTAGTGTAGCGGAGTGTAGTGTAGTGTAATGTAGTGAAGTGTACTGGAAGGTAGTGTATTGTAGTGTAATGTAGTGTAGTGTAGTTGTAGTTGTAGTGTAGTGGAGTGTAGTGTAGTGAAATGTAGTGAAGTGTACTGGAAGGTAGTGTAGTGTAATGTAGTGTAGTGTAGTGGAGTGTACTGTAGTGTAGTGTAATTTAGTGTAGTGGAGTGTAGTGGAGTGTAGTTGTGTAGTTGTGTAGTTGTAGTTGTAGTGTTGTGTAATGTAGTGTAGTGGAGCGTAGTGTAGTGTAGTGGAGTGTAGTGTAGTGTAGTGTAATGTAGTGTAGTGTAGTGAAGCGAAGCGAAGCGACATCTGAACCTCCAAAAGTGGTCCGAACCCCTGGTGTTTTTAACACTTCGAAATGTGCTTCGCGCCACAACCGCGTGCACTTTTTCGACATCCGAACCTCCAAAAGTGGTCCGAGACCCTAGTGTTTTTCCCGAGGGCGTCCGAGCGAAGGGTTCTTCTAATAGTTGTGTCTGTCATTTGCGTCTGTCATACATCTTCACACTTTCACATCTTCACATCTTCACATCTTCACACTCACACACTCACATCTTCACATCTTCACATATTACATCTTCCTCTTTACATCTTCACATACTCACATCTTCACACTCACGCACACACACACATCTTTACATCTTCACATACTCACATCTTCTCTTTCTCTCTCTCACACTCACATCTTCACATCTTCACATCTTCACATCTTCACACTCACACACTCACATCTTCACTCACATCTTCACATCTTCACATACTCACATCTTCTCTTTCTCTCTCTCGCACACATCTTCACATACTCACATCTTCTCTCTCTCTCTCTCTCCTCTTTCCTCTCTCCTTTCTCTCTCTCCTTTCTCTCTCCCTTTTCTCTCTCTCTCGCCTTCTTTATCTTTCTCTCTTTAGGCCGAGGGTGGTGCCGGCGAGGAGTCACGAAACGTCAACCCTTTCGCACGAAACGAGGGCCGATGCGCAAAAACTGAGGTAAAATTGCGATTTTACTTGTGCCGGACTTGTCCCGGAGCAACCCTTTCGCACGAAATGAGGGTCGATGCGCAAAAACTGAGGTAAACTTGCGATTTCACTTGTGCCGGAGCAACCCTTTCGCACGAAACAAGGCTCGATGTGCAAAAACCGAGGTAAAATTGCGATATTAACTGGTGTTGGATGTAAAAGGGTGTGAGTGTAAGAGTGTAAGCGTTTGTGTGTAAGAGGGTCTGTGTGTAAATGGGGTCCGTGTGTCGCAGCTTCTGTGTGTCAAAGGGTTTCTGTGTCCAAGTGTCTGTGTGTAAAAGGGTTTGTGTGTAAAAGTTTCTGTCTGTGTGTAAGAGGGTCTGTGTGTAAAAGTGTTTGTGTGTTTGTGTGTGTTTGTGTGCAAAAGTGTTTGTGTGCAAAAGTGTTTGTGTGCAAAAGGGTGTGTGTGTGTGTGTGTTTGTGTGTGTGTGTTTGTGTGTGTGTGTGTTTGTGTGTGTGTTTGTGTGTGTGTGTT